GTGGTTGCAATCTTGAAAGACATTAAAGCAGGAGTTAAACCGAGGCGAGAAACAATATACCACACGATTTGCAATCCCCCAGATGCGAAGAGTAATCGAAAGATGCCTACAGAACAGCACTTAGTCGACGAGGCAATAGGTCTCACGGCTGCGGCTACAGAGACTGTGGGCAATGCCATGGACACGGCGGTATGGGCCGCTGTACACAACCCCCAAATTTACGCTAGGCTACATAACGAGCTGAAGAAAGCCTTCCCGAATCCTGATCATATGCCGTTTACCGAACTGGAAAAGCTGCCATATTTGAGCGCTGTCATCAAGGAGGCACTCAGGTCAGTCTTCTATGATAATATTTCAAAGGTTGACGCATACGTACTTAAGAAGTTGACAGGCGTGGGTATGCAGGAGTCGGAACTTTTCCTCGTGTTGTGCCTAAGGACGGAGCCACTCTGAATGGCTATTATTTCCCTGAGCGTGTAAGTGATACAAGCCTTGATCATTTCATAATGCATGCCAGCTAATAATAGTTCCACCTTTGCAGACGGTCGTTGGTATGTCACACTACCTTATGCATCGTGATCCAGAGGCTTTTCCGGACCCAGATAAGTTTGACCCCGAGAGATGGCTCAATCCTGACGGCCTGCGTCTGCGTGAGAAGAGACTTGTGGCATTTTCCCGCGGGAATCGGCAATGCCTCGGACAGCCTCTTGCAATTTGCGAACTTTATGTGACCCTTGGACAAGTATTTCGTAGGTTTGATGATTTACAAGCCTTTGACGTCGGTCCGGAGGATATGGTGTATCAGGATTTCTTTTCTGCATATCATCCAAAGACAGCAAGGAAATTTAGGGTTGTCAGAGTCAGTCATTAGTGACTTGGAAAATAAACTAGAGACGGGAAAATCTGATGACATGAATTGCTACAAAGTCCACAAAGATTCATCAATGCCGACACCAAACTGTTTCTCGGAAGGGATGAGGAGAAGCATCTTGCTTGCGCAGCGCCCCACCATATGCTCTGGGAATACCTCACATTTACGAAGTTGTCCACTGGTGGATATGAGCTCACTGTCCCTCTCAACGACGACAAGCTTTCAAAAGTCGAATATGCGCCAGACTCGGGAGGACCATATATAAGACTAAGTACAGAGAGCACTCAGGTCATCGGCCTTCATCTGTGCAATCCGAACCCTTTCAAAAACTTCCGTTGGGTCATTCCTGGTAGCCTGGCACGATCTTCGGCTCCCCATTACGTGAGTGATGACAACGATGAGAACATGGACGAGGAGGCTGTTGGGTATCTGGTAAAGCAAAATATCACTAGTATTATCAGTTTCACAGCTGCTCCCTGCCTCAAGCAGCGACCGACCGACTTAATCATCAGGGAATAACATACGTTTCCATCCCTGTACCAGAGTTCTACGCTCCAACCCTGGATCAGCTGAATCAACTGCAAGATACATACAAGAGTGGAAGAGTCACGCTAATATACGGCGGGTTTGGATACGGGCGCGTAGGGACAGCTATCAGCGCATTGGAGCTGTATGCTGGTAATACTCTAAGCGACGGAGGTTTTAGGAGCAACAACGTCGATAGTGCTGACCAAATTAGAACTCTGAAAAGACTGAGATCTATACTGGGGCAACCAGTAGGATAGTTCTCCTCCGTCGAAGGGGGAGAAGCTAGGGTTAAGTGGGAAGCAAAAGCTTCTTTCGGCGAAAGGGGAGCGGCAGGGATGCAGACGATGCGGATTAATCAATGGCAAGCCACAGATGGGAGTATCAAGTGGAGAATTTTCATGTTCGCAAAAAAAAAAGAAAAAAGAAAA